TGTTCCCGCGGACTTCCTTCGACCGTCCCAGATGCACCCTGACACGAGTTGTCCCGCGCTGGATGATTGGGTTGCACACATGACGTCGATTATGAAGACCGCCCATGAGCACATAGCCGCTTCCCAGACTCGCATGGCAGCACGTGCGAACCGATCGAGGATGGATCACCCATTCAAGGTCGGTGATGATGTGCTTATCGACGCCCGCCACTTACAGCTCGAAGCGGAGACGCTTCGCAAGTTTCGGCGTCGCTTCTTTGGCCCATGCCGCATCCTCCAAGCCGTCGGTTCTGATACGGCATCTAGTCCGGTCAGCTTTCATGTGAAGCTGTCCGACTACCTACGCCAGGCTCGTGTGCATGATGTCTACCACGTCTCGTTAYTGCGTCCTTACCGCAGACCGTCTGAGCGTTTCGCTGGACGACCATACGAGCGTCCTCCACCCATCATGGTGGACGGACACGAGGAGTTCCTCGTTTCAGACATCATTGGTCGCCGAGTCACCGACGACAACCCTCCCCACGTCGAGTATCTCGTACGTTGGAAGGGTTACCCTGATGAGGAGGCTACCTGGGAGCCCCTCGAGCACTTGGAGCACGCTCGCATGTTGGTGCGTGCCTATGACCGTGCTTGTCGTGCTGGGTTCACTGCTCCTCCTCAGCCCACTGACTCTCCTCCTTCTCCTCCGGCTGAGGAGACCGCTGAAGCCGAGCCTGCTCCATCTGAGGCAGACCTTCAGCAGCAGTCGGATGCTTCTGAGCGCCCACAGCGCACTCGTCGTCGTCCTGCTCGATACGACGATTGACTCAGACTTACCTTCCCACGACTTTGACTTCTCAGTACTCCATCCACATCAGTTTTGCTACTTCAGCTCGTCGACGCTGCGGCTTTTCCTCAACGGCATTCCGGACTTCTCATCGTGGACGTCATCGGCAGCTTCATGGACTTCATCACGATCAGCTCTGCCTACTTCAGACGTCGCCACTCTCTTATCACTCTACCCTGTACAGTACCCTGCTTGTGTCGCATGATGGTCTCCCTTTAGCCGGGTTCCTCTGAGTTGGGCTCTCCCTTGGTATACACACAGGCATCAGGACCGTAGCGTTGCCCTGGCTTCCCATCTTACGGATCTAGCTCCGACCTCCCTCACTTTAGGAGTCATTTGCATGATTCCCTTACCCATCATCTTTCTACCCTTCGTCGGCCCTCACGCCCTAGTTAAGCAGCCCCGCATGCTTCATCTAGGTGCGCCCAGTATACCAGACTCCCTTGTTCCCTTGCATGATCGACCCACCATAGCAGTCACCCCTTAGTCGAGCATTACCCGCCCTAATGGTCTATCTGTTAGGGTCATTGGTTCTGTTCGCTTCCAGTTCCCTACCCTCATTGAGCCTGATGACATGCGTTTTCCCCTGTCACTATGTGTGGATGCCCTTAGGAGTTTTCAACCCCTAGGCTGCATTCGCCACCCTCAGAGCCCATCCCACCCTTTGGTGTGCGACACACTTCTCATGTGACATATGGTTGTCTTGTTGATTGCTTTGTTGCTCTCAGACTGAGGCTACTGCCTCCGACATTTCTAGGATTTAGTTGTTATGCTTTTGCTGATCTTAGGACTTATACACTAGTCAGTTGTTACCAGGCTGAGGCTAGTGCCTCCAACATTCTAGGATCTAGTTGTCACTACTTTTTGCTTTCCTAGGACACGTATGTTACTTAGTTGCTCCTACTTTCACTTAGGCTGTTAGCTGTGACATTGCTGTTTTGTGACATTTTATATCCTAGGTTGCATCGCATGGACTCAGCATGGAGCTTGCTCCGCATCCTAGACTACTCAGGTTTTCTTTCTTTGGTAGAGTTCCGCTTCTTGGCGGAAGCATGCTTGTATCTAGGCGATCCATCACAGGCCGAGGATCGTGTAGCGGACCTCGGGTTGGCCTGTGAGACCAGCCCCTTGGCCTGTTCTCACAGGCCTGTGTTATATTTGGGGTAGGCCAGTCCAGGCCGGTACCTCTGTCGGTACCAGCCAGTCCAGTCCAGTCCCGTCAGTCCGCTGGGGTATACCCCAGCCATTGTTTGTTTTCATTCTCATTCATCACTTGCACATTTTGGAGTACGTGCGTTGGAGYCTTGCGTGGGGAGCTGCGCTGTGCCAACTTGCTCCCCCTTCTTCCTCCATCTCCATCTCTGTCACTAGCGGAGCACCACACCCGGTGGGTCCGCTACACCCGTACATTTCCTAAAATTGTGGCCTGTTAAAGGGCACAACTTTTTTAGGAAGTATTGGTGGTTTAACAGAATCTCTATGAATTTAAGGAAACTTTGGAAATAAATAATACAAGATGAAATGGGAGACTTACAGTAATAAACCGTAGGGAAAATAATAAAATATTGTCGTCCGTACTCTGAGAAAGCGACAAAGCCACGCGATTGCGGCCAGATGCATCCAGATCTGGTCGCAATTATGGTCAAATACATTTAGGAGAGTTCTGCGATTGTGAGAGTATTCACTTAATACAAAGCATCCCGCTACTAGAGCAAAGTCACATGCCAAAAAAAAAAAAAAAAAAAGTCCCATACCCACAAAGAGCTAAAACATGCAAGAAAAAAAAAAAAAGACAAAAAAAACAACCACCAAAAAAAAACAAACAAAAAAAAACAAAGATCTAAGACATGTAACAAAAAGAAAGACTTTAAAAAGTCTTGAAAAATAATAATGACTGTTCAATTTTAAATTAGTTGACAAACCCTCCAATTATTAAATTAAAATCAACTCCTTTGACAAAAAAAAAGGAAAAATCCTCGAAAGCAGGACCATCTCACCACTATGCACAACGCGGAACGAAATCAAATTATCTGACCAAAAAAAAAAAAAAAAAAACACTTATGAAAGCAACTCACAGTGTCCTCGACGAGTCATCTCTACCACCACCAACAAAAAAAGAAGGGAAAGAAAAAAAAGAGGGCACTCAAGAAAAAGCACACTCCTAATGATTGTCACCGGCTGCCTAAATCCTTCGTCCGTTTTCGTCTCCTCTCCTACAAACCACCTACCTTTCTTCTCCTCCCCGCTACGGATCTCCTAGATCTGCCTCTCTCAGCTACCCCTCAAAAAAGTTCATCATTCACTCAAACCGTGAATGAATCGGAGACACACCCCACCGAGCACAACGGCAGACAAAACAAAAATAAAAAACTAAATCACAAAACCACATTTCTTTCGATCCCCATGGCAGTAACACACTAAGGGCGTACTCACACTAGCAGGATCTCAAATGTATCTGATCGCATTCACGGCCAACCTGGATGCATCTGGCCGCAATTCCGTCCAGAAATACGTTAAAAAGTCCAAGTTTCAGTATGCCCTAAGCCATGACACGCAGGCGGTGCAGAACGGAATGATCTAAAAATAAATCATCCAAATCTTCTCCGATTCACCTTATCCATTTCCCTTCCCGCCATCTTACCTTATCCATTGCCCTTCCCGCCATCTTACCTTATCCATTTCCTTTCCCGCCATCTTACCTTGCCCATTTTCCTTCCCGCCAACTACCTCCTACCTAGTCATATGGACTCATCTCGTCCACCACAACTCCAAAGCAGTTTCAACGACAATGCCATCTCTCTCACCACTGCCGCTCTCTTTACCTATCTAATCACCGTCAGCTGTTAATCGCCTCCCCCCGAGACCCATCTCGTCGACCACAACTCAAAAGTAGTTTCAATAAACCCCCTCTTTGCCATCTCTCCCACCACTCCCTCTATCCCTACCTATCTAATCCTCTATAGCGCTTCATCTCCTTCCCCCCCCTCACCCTCCCCCCATCTTCTGCGTCCACCTCAAACCCTAAGGCAGACAATTTGCCTGAACGAAGATCGTCACTCCTGAGGCAAGATCACACAGACTCAGCGAGAATCATACGATCCTTAGACCACTCATCAATCACAGCAGGACGCGGCATAGTATGACGTGGCATAGTACGACGTGGCATAGTATGACGTGGCATAGTATGACGTCGCACACCGCATCCCGGCGCTGATCCATACCCAACGCTACGCTTCACCTCTAAGTGACGACTCATCGTCCAACCTCTCTCTCTCTCTCTCTCTCTCTCCCTCGCTCCCTCTATATCTCCGTGCTATCAATTCACACAGTTTCTGTCAGACATCATGACCAAAAGTAGCGTGTCCCAGTTCCGCTCCTTAACTGAGCTGCCTATCGAGTGACAGCAGTTAACCAGGGGGACGAATAGTTGGGCATGATACGGTGGGGTTTATTAGAGCTTCCAGTCCCAGTTTGCTATTTCTTTCAAGCCGCGGCATGAACATGCTCCTTGCCTGCACAGCCAACTCATCAGCCGGGCACATGCTCACATTCGTGTCTTTCCCTAGAAGAACGCAGGATCGTCACATTCACACGTATAGCTGGTCTCAATTTCCCGCCAAATTCCGATACAATGACACCCTCCCCCCCCCCCGATGAAGGACCGCAGGACTGTTTTTCGACTGAAAGAATATTTCTTCCATACGATTGTCTTTTCTTGTCCAAATTTCGATCACATCACTCGTACAACCAAGAGCCCTGGTGCATTCAACCATGCCCTCAGTTGTATGCATATACACTATGTATACAAATTTTACTCATCCGCTTCTGTATTTCCACAGTTCAGTTCAGTTCAGGATTGTGTACCAACTTGGCTTTACCGTAGTAAAAGAAAGTTGTGGGGGACTTACCCAACTGGGATTTGCCGTAGTAAAAGAAACTTGCCTGGGAGGTCGGATCGGATAGACCGTTGGAGATCTCAAAAAGCTCTTAGGATGGCCGTAAAGCTGTCGTGCCTGTGAGCATGCACGCGTGCTTGGCCTTTTATTACTTAGTATGCCCTGCCTGAAGACGATTCTTCCGGTCATCCTCCAGCGGAGTGGGGACCACCACCTCTCTCTCCTGAGTCGAGCTCCTCCTCTTCCTCTTCCTCTTCCTCTTCCTCTTTCACTATTTCCTCTCCCTCTTGCTCGTCCGCGTCACATGCGCAAAGCAGCGCAGCGTCCGCGTCACATGCGCAAAGCAGCGCAACCGGGGTCCTGCTCTCCAGAAGAAGAAAGTGATGCAAAAAGACATGTCCAGCAACACAAAAGACGGATTTGAAACGGATCCTTCTGCAACCAACCAAGCGAGTGAGCGACTCTCTTCTCCTCTCTCCTCTCTCCTCTCTCCTCTTCAGAAGACATACTAAATTAACAAAATGAAAACTGCGATAACAGAGCAGACGGAGGGAGAGAAGAAATTAAGAAAAAACACGAAAAGAAAAACTGGTCGCCGAATCTAGTCAACGGTTTATTCGGTTCATGGACGGGGGGGCGGGGGGGCGGGGGGAAATCAACATTACGGAGTCCGCTACATCTCTTTTGCCCTCTAAAGATGAGCGACTGACAACAATCAGTTTAGCATTGATTGGCACCTCCTCCCTCCGCTCTCTCCCCTATCGTCACTAGCCAGTGTCACAATCTGCTGCCCTCTTTCTACAAGAAGCCAATTGATTTGATTGAGTGATTGATTGAGTGATTAATTGATTGATTGACTGATTTGATTGCATGATGGCCGCAAATACCGCATCCCCTACGGAGATTGTACATACATACAAGTCTCACAAACGCGCACGTTCTTGGATCTGTGCAGGGAAATGGACCTGGCTCCACTACACACCGCTCTATACGTATCTGCACCTCATAATCGTCCCGATACGTTCCAGATGTTGGACTCCTCCAAACTCACCTGGTCCCGAAAGGCATCCAAATGCATGTACAGTGTTGACTACACACATTTCGACCACGTTGAGAAAACGTCGATCAAGAAAAAGAAGCAGCCAGACGAAGAAGATGAAGAAGGAGGAGGAGGAGGAGAAGGAGAAGAAGGGAAAAGAGATATCGATGCACTAACGAAAAAGATCAGCTCTCGAGAACAGCCACGGTCCCGCGCAAACGAAGAAGAGTGAAAAAAACGGCTCTTAAAATCCTCCACTGCGCTGCTCGGAACAAAAAAAAAAAAAAAAAAAAAAAAAGGAAAGAAAAGACAAAAGAACAGAGGATGGATGGAGAGTTCGATGGATGTGGCGTGCCAGAATGCGTTTACCTAGATTGGTACAGATAACGGCACATGGACAGAGAAGAAGAAAAGTGAAAACAGAGAAGAAGAAAAGTGAAAACAGAGAAGAACAACGTGAAAACAGTGGGCATACACAGACCCGAAGACGAAAGACAAATGGAAATACACGGCCAGATCTATTTTTGGACCATGAATGACACGCACAGAAGAGAGGCAGGAGAGCACATCAACCTCCACCACGTCCGTGAGCATAGATGCGGTAATAGCCGTTGGCAACCGACATGGGCCTACGTAGCTCACTTGGTACACCCTCCCTGGACTGTTGAAATACAGACTCAAGTTCGAATCCAGGTACTATCAGAGGGACAGAACACAGTCATTCTCAATTACACGAGGCCGGTCAGTTCAATGATGAAAAGAAGAAGGAAAAAAAAAACATGTTGGCAAAAGGAAATCCAAGCGACACTGGATGTGGCGCACGATCAAATGGTTAGCGGCAGCAGTAGGAAGAAACAAGAGGCAGGGCAGTGCAGTGCATCGATAAATAGACGGGTCGCGATGGGGATCGCGTTCGACCGCTTAAAAAGAGAGCAACGTAAGTTAAAAAAAAAAAAAAGGCCTGGTGGGAGATGCACGATGGCTGATGTCAATGAAGAGTCCCATGAGACTACCCATATCGCACTACCAGAGGCAGTGATACTTGCACTCCGCACCCAGAAAATCGTCGAAATAGAAAGAGACAAGGCCCAGTTGCGTCCTCCGGAGATAAATGCACAATGCACACAGCGTCGTGGAGTGCCAAGTTGACTACTGGAAACACGGAAGGCTCGTATTGGTGACCSCCCCCCCCCCCCCCCCCCCCCCCTCTCTCTCTCTCTCTCTCTCTCTCTCTCTCTCTCTCTCTCTCTGTGGCAGTGATACTTGCACTCCGCACCCAGAAAATCGTCGAAATAGAAAGAGATAGGGCCCAGTCGCGTCCTCCGGAGATAAATGCACAATGCACACAGCGTCGTGGAGTGCCAAGTTGACTACTCGAAACATGGAAGGCTCATAATGGTGGCCGCCCTCTCTCTCTCTCTCTCTCTCTCTCTCTCTCTCTCTCTCTCTCTCTCTCTCTCTCTCTCTCTCTCTCTCTCTCTAGCGCGGGCGCGCGCCGCTCGCAACCACATCAGCAGAGACGCCAATGTCTTCCCCTCCGCCTCCTTCTGTGTCTGCCTCCCTCCTGTGGATTGGTTTTTCGTGGAGGTGGAAATGAATCCATCGCTATCGCCAATCCCATCATTACTCATCACAAACTTCGATGAAGACAGAAACAGTTGCAAGCACACACACACACACACACACACGCACACACACACACACAAGCACACACACACACACACACACAGAGCAATGCACATATATACAGTCAAACGCTTATCGAGGAATAGAGCGCGGAGACCAGACGTTTGTTATTTTACGTAAGAGAGCCGTGGACGGATAGGAAGCTCACGTCTCTTCTTCCTCCGCTGCATAAGCCGGGAGGACCCGAACTCCATGAACGAACGAGAACGCCAGAGGACCAATGAGCCTAGCTCGGTTGGTACACCCATGAATTGTTGAAATACAGACCCACGTCCGAATCCAGATGAATGACGTTAAATACTGGTAATTCTGAATTACCTGGGGCCAGTCAGTTCCAACGACGATATCTCAAGGCGGTCGCCCTTTAAAAATATTTATATATAAAAAAAAAACGCCGGAGGAGGGGATGACCAGGCATGCACGAAGAGCAACACGAGAGCCACATTACCTGTCTGCTCTACGCACTCCATCCCCGCCTTGTAATCGGCGGCGGACGACGGACGAGTCAGTGCCTCCCAGTCTTCCATCCATCCATACTGCCATTTTGATTACCCGTGAGCACATCTGCGCGCGCACACGAGAATTAGCCATTTTGATTACGTGTTAGCATTATAAGCATATCTAAGCGGACACGTGTCTTTTCCAGCCATTTTAAGTAACTACGTTTCGGCACACCTGTGAGAGCATACACGTGTGTTTAATCATCACTCGTTAGGAAAGAGGTTCCGACTCTCGTCTCGCAGCAGAAGAGGCAGGGACACGTGTGCAATCCATCCACACGTGGTAGTGACCTCCCCATCAAATAGCAAACCCTCACCAAGCAATTAGGAAAAAGGGCCCGTGCATGCACGTTTATTACCTATCAATCAGTTGTATTACCTATCAATCAGTTGTACGGGCAAGGCGTGCGTTTACTATCGGTCAATCCACTCGTACAGCGTTTACTATCAATCAATCCACTCGTACAGCAGGATCAGGCAAAAGGGCACATTTACACGGCAATTAGCTTTCACACAAGGACGAGGCCCTCGCCGCAGCCCGCGCTGGAATCATCACTGCCCGCACAAAGATCAGGCAGGAATATACCACCCAAGAGGCCGGGATCGGGGGGCAAGCCCCCCGCCATGCACAGAGAAAATCTAGTAGGTTTTGAATTCCTTGCCTACTCCGCTAAACTTCCCTCCCTCTCCCTCCCTCCCCCTCCCTCCCTTTCTCTTGCTTATTCCCGTAAGAATAAGGTGGGTTCTTACCAGGCAGCAGAGCACTAGAATGGACACAGCTCTCCTATACAGGGGGGCTTTGAGAATCGCCCAAGCGATGGTCAGGTTTTAGACGGTGGTCGGGTATCGATAACGGAGGAAGAGAGCGCGCGGTGTTCCGGCGAACGATGCCGAGGCGATGGCCGCCGTCGATAAGAAGTGCTTTGGCGCTGGGTCGTTCTATACGAGGATTGACGATCGTTGCGAGCAGGTAAAGCAGGAGGAGGAGGAGGAGGAGGAGGAGGAGACAAAGACCAGAATTGCCCATCCCGCCTCAGAGTAGACCGACAAGGCCTGGGAGGCGTTCCCTCCGGAAGGTAATCCTTTGTGAAAGTCTTTCGCGGCGCGTGTCTGGCATAGCGACGAACTGCTAGTCTGACACGTGGCAGCTTCCAGGCGATCTCCTTCCAAATATTGTTCAGCGCTCCCATGGAAGGGTCGTCTAGTCTCGGTTTGTAGTCGAAGTAGGGCAACACTCTCACGATTTCTCTCCTCATCTCTCTCCTCTCCTCCTCCGTTATTCCTCTCAGCAGCGCCATTATATACCCTGGTCGAATGGCTTGCGACGACTCCACCACGATGCAAAACCGCGTCCAATTCAACCAGCTCTCGAAAGGGAACTCGATGAAGTCGCTGACAACCACGGGAATGCAGAGATTGATCAGCGAATCCCACAGCCGAGCGGAAGACGGCGTGTCGCCCGCGGGGTTCAGACAGAAATGAGATCTCCTCATCTCGCTCGCGGACTCAATGAGAGCGTCTTCGGGCACACTGGCGGCGTCGTGGGAGGTGCCCTCCCAGTCCACGCCGTCCTCCCCATTCAGCACGTCCCACAGCTTCGACCGGATCGCCCCACCGTACTCGCGATGCTGCTCTCCGCGAAAGTAGAGCAGAGAGGTCCTCTTCTCCTCCGCTCTCTCTGAGGCCATCGTCAGCTCGTCCTGCGGTATTCCAGGCACCACGGGGTTGTACGGAACGACCACGTCCTTGTCTAGATTGACTTCCTCAGAGCAGAAAAAGCCGAAATCGACGGAGAGATATATGGCATTATGCAGACTGTGCCGAACGTCCGCCATAGCCAGAGGATGAGAAGTCATGAAGATGTGATCAAATCCTCCAGATCGAATCCAAGGCTCCTGTTGCACCATCCATTCGCGGAGCGCCTTCTGTCGATCAGTGTCGTGCAAGCTGTCGCACACTTTCAAGTTGTCCTTGAAGTGAAGATTGCAACATAGCTCCCGAGATTGTGACCCTAAGAAGGGAACCAAGAACAGGTCGGCCTCCGCCGGATCATAAACCTGTCTCACCGGGCCAGGGACATAGGACCTCGACAAGCTGGAATCGCCGAGCTGCCGCTCCTCTTCGGCTTCTCGTCGAAGACGAAGATCCGTCAGCATCCAATACTCCAGAGAATGAATGTAAAGCCGATTATTGCGAGAATCATTATACACAGAGATATTTAAGGGCATCTCAACACGAGCGGGCAAATCGTACACATAAACGCGGACCGGAGAGACGGGTGAGGTGCAACAAACGTTGACATTGTCACCCTCTACAACTGCACTATCCTTACTATCCTCCACCCTTAATTCCTTTTTTTCTCCTCCTCCTCCTCCTCCTCCTATCGACCTCCTCTCCTCCCTATCATCCCCAGCTCTGACTACGCGGACGGGATGTAACGGAACGGTCCCTCTCTCATTGTCGTTCTTCAGCGGCGGTGGCGGCGAGAACGATACCGCCGCCGCCGACGACGACGACGACGACGCCTCCAGGTTCAAGACATCAGTTACTCTTCCGTTACCCCCAGCGCAAGGGGCGATTCTCGGCCATGACAGCAGGAAGAGTAACGTCACGACGACGACAAAAGACAAGTACGTAACCTTGCGGACTGGGCAATGGACCTCGGGCCGATGAACCAGAAACACCACCATTATCTACAAATATGGTCGGATGCCGGTGTGTCTGTGTCTGTGTCTGTGTCTGTCTGTGTCTGTGCGTGAAGAGATGCGTGTCTGTGGACACGTGTATATGTCTCCTCAGATACACAAACGAAAAGCGGTCAAAGACTTCCGTCAGTCTCTCACCAACTCGTCAGGACTACGATGAAATCTCTCTCTCTCTCTCTCTCTCTCTCTCTCTCTCTCTCTCTCTCTCTCTCTCTCTCTCTCTCTCTCTCTCTTCTTTGACCTTCCGTCAGTCTCTCACCAACTCATCAGGACTACGATGAAATCTCTCTCTCTCTCTCTCTCTCTCTCTCTCACACACACACACACACACACACAAACACACACACAAAGAACGTGCTTCTATCTCTAGTTTGCACAAAACGAGAGGGGACTCAGTTGGGGAAATTTTGCTGCTTCTTTTACATTTCCGATCCCTACTCTCCCCTCGCTCCCTCTATCGCCCCTGTGCACAGGGACAAGGTAGTGCTCATTTCCTGACCTGCTTTCAAGTTTATCGCCCAGTCCTGCTCTCTTCTCAATCCCTCGTCCCCCTGTGCTCTACTTCACGACCACTACACGTTCCTGATGTCTACCTCTTCTCATTTCGACGTAGCTCGGCTTCGATTTTCAATCCGTTGTCTGCACGCCAATTTCCCTCCAAGTCCTATCTCCAGGAAATCCCTCCTAATAACGAGGTGTATGTTTTCATACCACCGCCTGCCGTCTATCTTCTCCTACCACTAGCTGCCCACCTGTCACCGGCGATCCTCCCTGTCTCCTTTCTCCTCCTCTCCTTCCGTTCTTCCCAAGCTACGACCAACCTGCATTTACCAATTCCGAAGCACTCACTCACCTCCCCCTTTCCTCTCTCTTCCTTCACTCGCCGTCCCGCTCCCAGCAACCGGCGGCGCTGCACGGGGGCAAGGTCCCACTTGCGCAAATTAGGAGATTTCGGACGTTGATCTTTGCTATCTACGGTCAGTATCTCTTAATTCGTGCAAGTGGGACCTAGCCCCGCGTCGATGGCGAGTACCAATACACAATGGCCACGCAAAAATGGCCACGTAAAATGGCCAGACTTATCGCTCAGCCACGTGGCGACGGATAAGGCAAGTCAGATCCATTCAATTCTCTCTCTCAACCCGCGCACGGAGTCGGTGTCCTCCAACTTCACACGTGGCACGCAATGGACATCGCATCCAGCCAAAGCGCGTGATAACCACTTTTTTGAGAGCGGACTCCCACTACTCTACTCATTCGACTGAATCTAGCCAATACTGAGGTCACTGATACCGTCAGGGTATAAAAGCGGTTTATTGGAGTGAGAGAGCGGGCGGTGGAATTGCTATGCGTCTGCCCTTTATCTACACAACCATCACTTCCCTCCGCCACGTTCGATGTGAGATGCACGCAGTCCCTCCTTCTTTGATACGCCTTCTCCAACTCGAGTTCCTCCTCCTCCCACCCCTTCTCCTCGTCTTCTAACTCCCCTTCCTCCTCCTCCTCCTCCTCCTCTCTGTCTTCCTTTCTCCGGGCGTAGTTCTCTTCCTACGATAGACCGGCAAAAACACCGCCAGTTTTACCGCTACTCGCTTGGCCCTTCAAACCGCCAAAATACAAAATTCTGTGGAAGGCCGACGGCATGGCCGACACATGCCCTTCGCCCTCGGTACTCCACCGGCGGTGACGAATATACTCCTGAACACTCCATTCTTTTATGATCTTTTCTTTCTTTTTTCCAGTTCTCAACGTTCTTGTGTTCGATTGCAACCTTCCACAGTATTTCCCACAAGAACGTAAGAACTGGAAAAAAAAAGAAAAGATCGAAGAACGTATCCGTCCTTCGGGACATCCGTTAAAATTGGAACGATACAGAGAAGATTAGCATGGCGCAAGGATGACACGCATAAATCGAGAATCCAAATTGTTTTGATTAAATTAAAAAAAAAACAAAAAAAAACAAGAACGTATCCCACCAATTGCGCGGGCACTTCACATAGAAACAAAATAAAAGTAGTAGTAAATATATATATAATAAATATATATATATCGTCACAATTAATTCAAAAATATATATATATATATATATAGGCGGGCAATTGACATAAGGCACCCACGGCCCTACCATAAGGCCGGTTGGTAGTCCTATGAACTGTTACGGTCAGTCCAATGATGACATCTCTAGGCCGTTGCCCTTCGATAAAATAAAAACAAAAAGAAAAGAAAGGAATTGACATAGGTTGGTCGTGCGGGCAATTGTCCTCCGATACAACATGGAAAGATGCACCACCATAATTTTCGTCTTTTGTGCATGTGGAGAGTAGTGGAGCGACGCCCACAACCCTCGCTGCACTACTCCCACATGCACAAAAGACAAAAAAGAAACAACTCGCTGTTGACATAGAGACCTGAGTCTCCGAAAAAAAAAAAAAAAAAAACATAGAGACCTGAGTTCGAACTCCGCCATCAGATGAGTGAAAGGGCCTAGTTGCACTACTCGCCTTCCGTCACATTTCGTGGCGGATGCGTGGCGAGTGAGGGCCTCGTTTCACTACGCCACGAGTGGGGGCCGCGCCAGTGAGGGCCTCGTTCCACTACTCGCCATCCGCCACGAGTGGCGGGGGCGCCTTCGTTCCATCAGATCGCCAATCGCCACAAAACTTGAATCGTCAGAATTTACAATCAAATGTATTTGGCGGCCAGTCGCCAAAGCCTCCAGTTTCCCCTGCCTGCCACGGACTTTCGTGGAGAGGGGTATGTTCACCTCTCCGCGAAACACTTCGAGTGGAGGCCTCCTCTGACAGCGACCGCCTGACGGTAGGTCTCCGTTGTCCTGTAACGTTGGCGAGTTTCTGCCGCGCTTGTCAGTTTTCCCAAGTCCCAACTCGGTCGTCCAAATCCTAGTGGGACTATGCGAACGGACAGTCCGATGTGGTGCGGCGGGCCCCACGGGAACGATCCACGGACCGCCTTGTGACGCCCAACCTCACGCCCAGCGCGACTTCCTGTGTTCAGAGTGTTGGTGGGCCTGGAAGTGTAAAAAGGGGTGTGCCAAGGATTTTAGGAAAGTGGGGGTGGAGTTCCAGGTCGGAACTGGAATCTCCTGTGTCAAGTTCCAGGGGTAGACGTGCAAGTGTCTCTTTCGGCTCAGAGTTGGGGTGATGGCCGACCTCGCGGCCTGATCCACGTATCATGTTAGAGTGGGGCGCCGCGCGCGTCCCAGTGGGAATGCTCGTACCGTTGTCGGTCGGCGCAGGTCTTCGAGGCTGATGAGGATGGGCTGTGCTCCCATTGTTCCGTTTCGGGATGGGTTCGTCGAGTGACCCCCGCCGGACGGTACTCGTCGCGCTGCTGACACCCTGAGCACGGTGGTCGGGGCCAGAACCGGGCTATGGACTCCCAGGGGATGACGAATAGTTGGTGGTACGAGAGGACGACGTAATAGGGAGGGAAACTAGTCGTGGCCTGGGGTTAGAAGGTAATGTTGGCTTCGGCTATCGGGATAATCCGGGATCCGCGAGTCTCGATTAATGGCCAATTGGAAATCGCCTCCGCACAGTTGCTCGTTTCCAGTTCAGTAGGGGTACTCGGGATTCTGTGAATTTCGTTGTCGTCTGGCTTGTTGCCGTCTGACTTGTTCCCTTTCCCAATACGCTCGGTATTTCGGATCTCTCAGGCTCTCACGGTCGGTGATCCAAAAGGGAGTTTCGATCTCCATATCCTATTTAGCGGAATTCGGCGCAGGCATCTTCGACCAGTGGGATCGGGTCGGCTCTTGCACGCGCACACATAGGCTGCAGGTCCCCTCTGTGGGCGGCTGCCTGACGCATGCGTGCGCATGAGCCGGTCGATCGGATCAAAGACCACGGGCGAGTTCGTCACCGATGAGCGATCCGCCTGCGTGTCGATTTATCCAATATGCATGCAACTAGTCCTTCCGTACGACTGTTATCCAAATCTCAGGCAGACTAATTTTTGCATCCATGCTCACACCATCATACACGCACCCCATGATCCTTGCAATCACGCACGACTCAAGAAAATCAAGTAATTGGACAAGATGCGCGCGAGGTCATATGCGCATCACAGACGAGTACTCGAAAGTGACGAAATTGAAATTGAGCAGAACAAAATTGAAGGTTAAAGACAACTCAAAAAAAAAATAGGATTTTCTCATGCATACATGCACACAAACAGATAGTCCGAGATGACTCACACATGGAGTCCGCAGGTGCCGGAGCAAAAATTAACCAACTTTGGAATCAAAACTTTACATAGAAGATATGGAGAAAAAAACATTGTTCCACCATATCCCCGTCTCTCTCTCTCTCTCTCTCTCTCTCTCTCTCTCTCTCTCTCTCTCTCTCTCTCTCTCTCTCTCTCTCTCTCTCTCT